GGATAATGGTTGGCACGGGGATCGGAAATTTTCGGTTTTATTCGGGTTTTTTCGGGTTACTTTTTGTTTTTTTTTTTTGTTTGTTTAATTTTCCCCCCCCCCCCCCCGCGAATACGAAAAAAATAACGTTAAACGAAACTTTAACTGCAAACGGCCTAACTTTAATAATATCGTAATTATATTGTAGCAATATTATAAATATATTTAGCAAAATTCGAAGGTTTCTACAAAGTATTATATTTGTAAAGCCATGAAAGCCTCCGATATTTTTTGCGTGTTGATGGATCTTGAATTGTACATGTGATCCGGATGTTTTTGCGTAATAATTGGTAATTCTCTGATTATTTTATTTGCTGCTGAAAATTGCTTCTTAATCTCGTTTTCATCTGAACCTTCTAAGTATCTGCCCCATTCATCAAGTTTAATTAAAATATCTATAGCCTTAGGTCTCTTTCGTGGATCAGAATTCATGCATCGCATGGCCAATTCGATATAACATTTTGGAGTTCCAGGTCCGAATTCTGGGCGCAATCCATTGCATATATCTAGTGCAAGACTAGTATCAAATAAACGACCATCAAAAGGCCGTTGTCCATTTGATATTTCAGTCATGATGATTCCTAACGAGTAAATATCTGCAGCCTGTGTAATTTCTTTAAGCAAAGCTTCTAGAGCAGGCCAAGCTTCTGGAGCAAGCAAAGCTTCTGGAGCAAGCAAAGCTTCTGGAGCAAAGCTTCTGGAGCAATGTATGGCAATACACCAACGAGCTCATAATTGTTTGCAAAAGGTGAGAGCCCTAAATCTGAAATATATGCATTGTCTATATCATCTTGTAAAATATTGCCGCTATGTAAATCTCGGTGAGTGTATCTTTGAAAATGGATCGCTTTAAGATCAGAAATTATGCAATGTAACAATTTTAACTTTTTTTCCCAATCCATTTGTGATACATCGCGATTTTTACTCAAAGATGTCTTTTTAGCATATTCCAAAACAAGTACATAATTCCCATCTTTATCCTTAGAAATTCCAAAACATTTTAAAAAAGATGGATTTACATCTCCGATTTCACAATATGTCCTTAATTCTTTAATAAGCTCTTTACGATTATCTGAATCAAGTTTTTTGAGCGCTATGGTTGTATTTAAATTTCTATTTTTATCAAACCAACGCGCACGGTATACAATTGAGAACCCGCCTTTACCTATTTCATATATATTCTGAAATTCTTTATAAGAAACCAATGGCGTTTGATAATTGTTATTAATAAATAATTTCTTCAAATCATCATCAAGATAAGAGTTTTCGAAAACAAATCTATGTCGAACTAAAAGAATAGATTATACTGTATTAAAATTATTAAACTGCTAAAAATTAAATTAAAATCATAAATTACCTGTTAAATATGAATCACTTTCTATTATAGCTTTTTTTACTCTAATAATTTGAATATTTATTAAAATAGTCATATTTATTAAGTATAAATAAAAAAAAAACCATATTTTACCTTTGATAACAGTAGTTCGATTTTTGTAAATCTCTCTTGACTCCGATTCCGTTTCGATAACAATGAGCAACAAGCGATGTTCCGCCAATATGACCCAGATTGGAGGATTTCTGATAATATTCGAATGCTCGCTTCTCGTCCTTTGAGATCCCAATTCCATGATAATAACAAAAACCGACATTAAATATTCTATTAGCATGTCTCAAATTTGCAGATTCTTGATAATACTCAAGGGCTTGTTTCGCATCTTCATCAACATTCTGTATTCCTTCAGTGAGATAACTAACTGCAAAAAATCTCTGATAATAGTCTAAGGCTTTATATTGGTTTTTCTCGGCTCCGATTCCATTTTCATAAAAATAACCAATATTTAATATTCCTTGAGCATCATCTAGGTTTGCTGATTTTTGGTAAAATTCAAAAGCTTTATATTCGTTTTTCTCGACTCCGATTCCTTTTTCATAAAAACGACCAACACTAAGTGCACCTTGAGCAAAAGCTTCATATTCGTCTCCGATTCCTTTTCTATAACTAAATGCTCCTTGAACATCACCTAGGTTTGCTGATTTTAAATAAAATTCAAAAGCTTTATATTCGTTTTTCTTGACTCCGATTCCTTTTTCATAACAACGGCCAACATTAAATGCACCTTGAGCAACATCCAGGTCGGCAAATTTTTTATAAAATTCAAAGGCTTTACATTCGTCTTTCTCGACCCCGATTCCTTTTTCATAACAATAACCAGCATTATATGTTCCTTGTGCATCATCTAGCTCTGCAGATTTTTTATAAAATTCAAAAGCTTTAAATTCGTTTTTCACGACTCCGATTCCTTTTTCATAAAAACGACCAACACTAAGTGCACCTTGAGCAGCACCCAGCTTAGCTGATTTTTGGTAAAACTCAAAAGCTTCATATTCGTTTTTTTCCACTCCTATTCCTTTTTCATAACAATAGCCAACATTAAATGCTCCTTGAACATCACCTAGGTTTGCTGATTTTAAATAAATTTCAAAAGCTTTATATTCGTTTTTCACGACTCCGATTCCTTTTTCATAACAACAGCCAACATTAAATACTCCTTGAGAAACATCCAGGTCGGCAAATTTTTTATAAAATTCAAAGGCTTTATATTCGTCTTTCTCGACCCCGATTCCTTTTTCATAACAATGACCAGCACTAAATATTCCTTGAGCATTACCTAGGTCGGTAGATTTTATATAAAATTCAAAAGCTTTATATTCGTTTTTATCGACTCCGATTCCTTTTTCATAAAAATAACCAATTTTAAATACTCCTTGAGCATCATCTAGGTTTGCTGATTTTAAATAAAATTCAAAAGCTTTATATTCGGTTTTCAAGACTCCGATTCCTCTTTCATAACAACGGCCAACATTAAATGCTCCTTGAGCAACACCTAGATCTGCAGATTTTTTATAAAACTCGAAGGCCTTAAATTCATTTTTTTCAACTCCGATTCCAATATCATAATTACGTCCAAGTTCTAAAAACTTATTCGCTCTTTTCTTTTTAGAAAACATACCAGGAACGAATGCAACGAAATACATACGTACGTACGTACATGGTCATACTATATGCGTAGTGTTTTTGTACAAACCCGTGCTTTTGATTTTGTTTCACGTTTCATATGCATCGTACGTACGTACAGTACGATCATTTTACTACAACTAGGGCGTATATTTACGATTAATTAGGTTTCAAAAAAGCATCAGAGTGTCATGACATAGAATCCATGAATCCACCTTATTTCCAGTATTAACAAATGACTTAAGCTTTATGTTACTGTCGTTGGCAAAAGTACAAGTTATATTCCATCAAAAACATGTTACTGGATTTTTAAAATGTGGCTTTAATGTTTTTTTTTATTTATTTATTTATTTTTTTTTGCTTATTATATAATGCCAAGCGAAACGAAGACAATATCGTCTTGATAAATACTAAAATAAAAATTAACATAAATATTTTTTCATTTCCAAGCATAGGGAATGTAACAAAAAATTTGAGAAAATAATTTGTCATATACTATTTATGGTTATCATGCATTTGTCAAGAAGTTAAATGGCTAAATGACAAATGACCTAGCCATTAAATCATCTAAGTCATTCAAAGGTCATTTGCCAACCTTGGATACTCCTCCTGAATACTCAATATATACGACAAAAGTTGGTATCTTAATCAGAATAATCGTCCAGCAATAGCTGAAGTATTAAGCGAGCTCGAGCAGAATTTACAGAATAGAATATATCACAAATCAAACTTTTGCTGAAGAAATTGAAGGACCAAATTCATCTTCAGATCTTGATGATTCGTCTTCAACCAAAGACTTAATTAAAGACAATAATTTGTCTTCAACTAAATATTTAATTTTAAAAGACAATAATTCGCCTTCAATTAAAGACCTTAAATTAAAGATAAGAATTTATCTACGCTTGTTTAGTGTTGTAAGTCACATGACCTTAGTCGGCTGGCTAAACCAGCCTACTAAAACATCGGCTAACGGCTGAGGACCAATATTACCAAACAATATTTCATGTCGATCATCATAGATGTTGATTTAACCTCGCCGTACCCCAGCAAAAGTAAAATTTTTTAAACTTTTAATCAGATATCCAGACAAATATCTGACTAAAATTGATTAAATTTTTTTTTCATTTGAATTCTATTAATCCATAGAATTCAAATAAAAAAAAATTTATTAATTTTGATCAGGTGGTTGTGGATATATCTTCGCTCAAAGTTAGAGAAAAATCAAACCATCTCTAACGCCTATCACTGCGGCAAATTTTTTCAAAACTTTGAACGAAAATATTTCCACAATCATCTGACCAAAATCAATGAAGCTTTTTTGTTTGAATTATATATATTAATAGAATTTAAATAAAACGTTTTCATAGATTTTGGTCAGGTGGTTGTGGAGATATCTTTGCTCAAAGTTTTGAAAAAATTTGCCGCAGCTTCTATTTTGATAGGCGTTTTGATTTTTTTCTAACT